ACCTCCGAGGGGACAAATAAGGTCACGTCGGAGAGATAAAGCGACATATTTCAAAAGCGGGAGTACCGGCGCTTTCAAACGAACTGAATCCCATACACACACGTTAGCAATTAGTTCACTAAACCCCTAGTCACATCCAGTGGCGCTGTCACGGCAGGTTAACTGTCACCATGGACGGATGAAGGGTTTTCACTAAACCCCTAGTCACATCCAGTGGCGCTGTCACGCAGGTTAACTGTCACCATGGACGGATGAAGGGTTTGGGGGTGGGGCAGGAGTAGCCTGGTAAGGGGCCAACCATAAAATATGTCACTGTCGGGGGGGGAGGGGGGTAATTTAACACGACACATTATTTTTATATCATACACATAAAACCTGAAATTGACAGTGATGGTAAACTTTCTGCTGTGATGTATTCTGACATCACTTTTATAAATTTAATCATTTAATAGTGAAGTGTGTTTTAGATTATATTTTAATAGTTGTTAATTTTTTAACAATCTTTTAGTTCAAAAGTGTGATATGGGAAGAGAGGGGGATTGTCCAAAGGTTAGTGACAGATTGTGACAGGGTTTAAAATTTAAAAAAAAAAACAACAGCATGACATACTTTATGGATGACCCACCCCAACATCTAGTGGCAGTGTCACCACAGGATAACTGTCACATGGGTGAAGATAAAGGTGTGGGGTGTAATCTCTTGTGTATATATATTTTGTAAAAACTTATAATTATAAACTGTCATGCTGTTGAAACCTGACCCTTTACAGGGGAGAGTCAGTCTGGCCAGTGGGTCACATTCAAACAGGCCACACATTTATGCAGTACAAAATAATAATCATTAAATGACCAGTGATAGCAGTTCTAATGTTTAAAAAAAAAGTATAATTTATTTCAATACTTTCAGCAGGGAGAGAAACTGTTCTTTTTTAACTTGAATATAAGCTGTTTATAGTAATAGTCTGGAAATTTTAAAAAAATCTATACCACAAGTTATTATGCTAATGTGGTGACCATATAAAAGGTGTGACATCATGCATTGTTGAGAGTTTAACATAACATAGTCTCATCAGGCCAGTGAACAGGAACAAATAAATGAGAGAAGGTCATTGTTTAATAAATTCAGACTGATCATGTATTAAATTCTATTGTAATTTACCTGTCTCCACGGTTGTACAAACCCCACCCTTAATAGGACATAAAAAACCAACAGCTAGTCACAATTTTAAGCACTCAACCAGAGGTTCTTAAACTACCAGCTTTTTCTTCTATAACGATATGAGCAAAAATAGAAAAATTATGACATGAGCAAGGAAATGAATTCATTTATTTGCTGTTGAGCTATATAGTTAAGAGTATACACAAGGGGGGTCCATGAGTGATTTTTTGGGGACTGGGTCAAACAGAAAACAAGAAGCTCTGTAATCACAGAACTAGGGGTGTGCCGGATCCGTTTTTTCCAACCGGATCCGGATCCGGATTTTCTTATGCGAAATCCGCCGGATCCGGATACCGGTTTCTCCCGGATTCCGGATTTTGGTACTATTGGTAGATACTTCGGTAAGTCAAGGTGGACTACTACTTTTTGTGTATGGGAATTCGCAATCGGCGCCAAAAAATCCGAGTTTTTAATTTTCCGATGTGTGTGTCTATTTATTATTAAATTAGTACTTTCGATATATATTTGAGTTCCGTTCCATTTGGATAAGTGTCTTACGAGAGA